AATTTTTCAATTGCCCATATAAATAACTTGTGTAACCGTGATTTCGGAATCTATCGGATACGAGTTTCTTCTATGCTCATACGAGATGTCAGATATTTTATAATTTGTCACTATAACATCAACAATTGCATAGAAAAATATACTATGCTTTGTTCTATGTTGTTATTTAGTACCGCACATTGTCTTATCTGCGTGGCGGCCGCACAAAGATGGGCTTTGTTTATATTCTGAAACCGCATGCGTTTTTCTGGGATTCATTTTTAATATCAATAAAAACTGATTAAATATATTTTTATGTTAGTTCGAAATTTCTTACAAAACAGTATGCAGTTTACGTAACATTGGAGTAGTGAATATAAGCAAAGAGAGGCCTCTTGATTTGGATCAAATAGCTGGAAATATAAAAAAGTTAAAGGGAAAGCTCAAACAAAATAAATCGTCGTTATGTCAGGAATTATTTTCAAGCTTGAGAAACGTGGATATTTCTGCACTAACATGGAAGGATTTTTTAGCCAATCAGATCATCAGCGATGATTCAATACTAGTACAACAGCTAACGCCTCAATCACAAGATAATTTTATGGAACTAAAACGTCAAATGATTCCCCCACCCTCCCCCACCAAAAATACGAAGAAAGTGTAATGAATTTGTAGTAGCTTTTAATGAGAATCATCAAGTCAAATTAACGCAAAGAATTAAGCATGATGGAACTTGGAAGGAATCAGAAAAACAACTAGCAAAAGTTACAGATAGAATTTTAGATACGTTGTAAGTATAATTTGTGAAAATTTGACAATAGACAAAAGAAGAAGAATAGGAGAAAATTAAAAGGAAAGAAATACTAGAAAATATTGACAAGAGATGTGAAAGAATAAAATCAGAACAAGGCAAAATGTTAACAAGTCTTCTTGACAAACTGTATAAGAAAATTGTCCTGAATAGAGTCTTAAAACAAGAGAGCCAAATAGACTTGAAATTTCTCTATTTGCATTAGGAGAGATACTTGGAATAATCCAGCGTTTAGCCCCGAGTTCGCAGGGTTTCTGAGCGAAGGCACTTATGTAAATAATATCATACTACCTGCTATACGAGCTGTATTAAAGGGCCTTCCTCTAGAAAAATCTACTTTTGTCAGCAGTTCTGAACTCCAAAGTAGTGCAAGCGCGGATAGGAGAGGCGAGGGGCGATGGGGGAGAAGACCAGATATAATGTTTATAATGATGTGTGATGAAAAAAATTATGAATTGCTGTATGCCGAGTGTTCACGATTGACTTGTACGATGAAAAAGGAACGATATGATGCAGTAAAATTGTGGAGGGAGTGTAATGACGGGATGTACTGGGCTCGTAAAAGTTCTAGGCCCGATAATGATGAATTTGGAATTGTTGGTGTACAAATAGCAGGAACTACGATACGTTTGAATGTTCTTATTAGGGATAGTGCAGACGTTCATCGTTACTACCACCTACGTGAGGCGGAAATACCAGTGCGACAGTCAAGTCCTATTATTGTCGCAAATTTTATAGAAGTCCTATTAATATTGCGAAATATTTTGATAGTTAATATGGACTTGCTATATAATGCATTAAAACCTAGAACGCCCAGAAATGTGGAAGGTAGTTCTACTGTACCTTCTCCACATAGAGAAGAAGGGAAACAAATAAGAACAAGAAAGGTAAGTGACGTAAATCCTCCTTTGCATGAGGGCAGGCGTTTAAAGAAGAAAAAATAGTGCAGTGTTTTAGAATAGATATATCTTTCCTGTATTTTGTTCTTATTTTTTTTCATATCAATAAAGTTGGCCCTGGTGGCTCGATTTCGCATACATAATTTCGTTTACTTTTTGCATATGTATTTCGGGATTTTATTATATTGTACGAGTGTCAATGTCACGCATATGATCAGAATTTTATCTAAATTTTTTAGCAAAGTGAATTCTTTGTGAACCGAGTTCACGAAGTGATTGATATTTATGTTTGCTCCTACTTATTTAAGATCTTGAGCCTACAAGAAGAGATTTACCTGCAAAATACAAAAATAATTAGCATTAGATTATAATTAGTTTGCTTTTTGGTATAGTGGATCTAGTGTCTTCGACACATATTTTGAGTACTCAAAAAAAAATGAATATCACAATTCATTAGTATATAGTTAATAAAATCTAATAGGTCTTTCACCTGTTTTATATATTATCGAGCCTTTAATATAAGTTATTTCGAATACACAAAAAATGAACCCAGTTTTAAGTATCTATATCAAACCAAATATAATAGGTCTAAAATCTCTATAAATCACATAATCTCTAAAAACACTATAAATTACTTAATCGTTAAATATGGTCTATACAGATAAATGCTTAGCTTTGAGCAATACTAAATAGAGATAATTGTCAATTTTCTGTAATTCATGATAGAGAAACCCTATCTGATTAGAAAAAATGAATCTGGGATCAATTGGTGGATTATAGAAATAATAATAAATTTGCTGATTACTATAAGTGATATATAGTTGCTAGGAAGATAGAATATTATGAGAAGGTGATCTTAGTAGTGCTTTTGAAGTGAATATTGTAATATGTTATAGTTGTAATAAGCTTGTTTATGTTAATTGGAAATGTATTGATAGAGAATATCATGGATCTACAATCGAAAAACATTGGAGTACAAATTGCATAGGAAGTGCATATTGTGATATTAGTTATAAAGACTATATGGAACTTAAAAGCAGATCCGAAGCTAGTAACTCATACTTCGAAAAAGAAGTAATTCATCATTATGAATTGTGGATACAGAATACTATTAGAAGAGTTAAATGTGCAAAAGAAATTAGTAAAAAAATTTGAGTTATTAATATTATTAGAGAATATGTTCTTCAATTTGTTTATAGATCAAATAGTAATTTAGTAAAAAAATTAGCTATCCCTTAATCTGTAGGCTATTTCCAGGCAAATTTGCCTGGAAAATTTGTGTAATACTGCTATGATCTATATTTTTATAAAATTAAAATATTCAAACAAAAATTTTTTTAATAAT